AGAGAGAGAGAGAGAGAGAGAGAGAGAGAGAGAGAGAGAGAGAGAGAGAGATACCTACCCAAAAGCTTTTCATAGGTTTGCGGGGGTGCGTGTTGGTGCCAAAAGCCTTTTTTCTCTCTTCAAGGTCTGTTTCCTTAATACCATGCTCCGCATCTGTCTTTAGCAAGTCAGCAAGCCCTAGCGCCTGTTCAACATACACCAAGCACCCATAATTATTGTTGCAACTTCGCACATCAATTACCTCTTACGTCATATTACTTAAACCACCAGTACTTGGAACATACATCGACTGGCAGGACCCTCACCGCGACTTTCGGAGGTCGTACACGCAACGCTCGCCATCGATGAGATATATCAATGGCCTACCGGCCCACGTACACGACAAGGGCCCCCGGCTAATGTAAGGGACAAGTACTGGTGGTTTAACAAATTAACATCACTATCTGTATTACAGTAAATTCAGTAATAACTGTTCCCTTTTGCTCCATTTTGCGGCATTTGCCTGCTAACATACTGGCGAACTCGCCAAAGGTCGTTATACCTTTCTCGACCTTTTGAGTCTTGACTAAAAATAGATCAAGTGTAGTTACGGTATCTGTTCTGATCATTTTAATATCTGATCCATGGTCCATTCGACCACACACACACAAAAAAAGGAAAACAGGAAAAAAGGGAGTTTGCAAAATGACAAGAAAACAGAGAGCATTTGTCAGAAACTCAGAATGGATGTCAGTGTAGTCTGCATGTACCGGGACGGGCCGTCTGTACTCCCGTACATCCATACATATGCCCCCCCCCCTTACGAACCGTTGTAGTGCTCAGCCTAGACAAGACACAGCCACCTCTAGCCTATTTTCCAGATATATATGCGATGCTCTTTGTAGAACTACATAATTTCTCAGAATTGACGCTTAACTACATTTTTCAGAATTGATATCAAAGTCAATACAGTCAAACTGCATTAAATTTGGCAGAAGAGTTCTTCGACAAACAAGTACTTTTTTTTCCATTCTTTTCCTTTTTGGATGACGGAATACGGTTGTGAATTCTTGACATGCTCTCAGCTCTGGGAAAAACATGTACCTTGCATCTTTTCTTGTTTTCGGATCATCGGATATGAATCTCTCTCTCTCTCTCTCTCTCTCTCTCTCTCTCTCTCTCTCTCTCTCTCTCTCTCTCTCTCTCT